GTCAGGTATTCAAGACCAGCCTGGCCAACATGGTAAAATCCTGTCTCTACTAAAAATACAAAAATTATCCAGGTGTCGCGGTGCAGTCCTGTAATCCCAGCTACTGGAGAGGCTGAGGCACGGCAAATCACTTGAACTTGGGACGCAGAGGTTGCAGTGAGCTGAGATAGCACCACCGCACTCCAGCCTGAGCAACAGAGCAAGATTCTGTCAAAAACAAAACAAAACAAAAAATGGCCAGGTACAGTGGCTCAGGCCCATAATCCCAGCACTTTGGGAGGCTAAGGTGGGCAGATCACTTCAGGTCAGGAGTCAAAGACCAGCCTGGCCAACATGGTGAAACCCTGAAACCCCATCTCTACTAAAAGTACAAAAAATTAGCTGTGATGGTGTTTGCCTGTAATCCCGGCTGCACAGGAGGCTGAGGTGGGAGAATCACTTGAACCAGGAAGGTGAAGGTTGCTGTGAGCTGAGATCTCACCACTGCATTCCAACCTGGGCAACAGAGCAAGACTCCACCTCAAAAAAGAGAAGGAAAGAAAGGAAAGAGAGGAAGAGAGAAAGGAGAGAAAAAGAGAAAGACAGACAGACAAGACAAGACAAGACAAGACAGAAACAGCAAGTCCATTACTGCATGTTCTCACTTACAAGTGGGAGCTAAATAACATGTACACATGGACATAGAGAGTGGAATAACAGACACTGGAGACTCAAAAATGTGGGAGGTGGGAGGGGAATGAGGGATGAGAAAGTATCTATTGGGTATGACGTACACTATTTGGGTGATGATCGCACTAAAAGCCCAGGTTTCACCACTACCTAAGTGGTGTAACAAACCTGCACTTGTATGCTCTAAAATCTAATTTAAAAATAAGTAAATAAAAACTCCATTTTTTCCACTATATTCAGTATCATCTCCTGTCCTCATGAGTGTATTTGTGAATGGATCTTCTATGATATTGGAAACAGGTAGAGGTCAGTGTAGGTCACAAGCAACGGAGGGCATGCAAATGAAGGTTCCTAGATGGTTAAGAAATTTGGACGAGAGTTTTAGATATATGCAGGCTAGGAAACTAAGAGAATTATCTTGTTAGGCATGTATCTAAAGGGCAGTGGCCCCACAAACAACTATGCTACATAATAAAATATATTAATTTTGAAATCCAGCTATCTTCTTTCTCTGCACCCTCCTCTCCCATCTCTAAAAGCTTCCTGTCTTTAAGTATAATTGTTTAAAGGACTGGGAAACATACCTATGCATTAAAAATATTAACAGGGGCTGAATGCAGTGGCTCACACCTGTAATCCCAGCACTTTGGGAGGCCAAGGCAGGTGGATCACTTGAGGTCAGGTGTTTGAGATAAGCCTGACCAACATGGTGAAATCCCATCTCCACTAAAAAACAAAAATTAGCCAGGCATGGGGGCTTATGCCTCTAATCCCAGCTACTCAGGAGGCTGAGGCAGGAGAATCGCTTGATCCTGGAAGGCAGAGGTTGCAATGAGCCAAGATCACACCACTGCATGCCAGCATGGGCGACAGAGTGAAACTCTATCTCAAAAAAAAAAAAAAAAAAAAAAAAAATATATATATATATATATATATATGTGTGTGTGTGTGTGTGTGTGTGTGTGTGTGTTAACAGAAATATTATGTACCATTAATCCCTTGGGCTAAATGCTTCTCTGTGGCAGGGTCCACTAGAAATGGAAACAAAAGAAGCTGTGAAATCTAAAACTTTTCGTAAAAATCTGAAACCTGCCAGATACTGTGGCTCACATCTGTAGTCTCAGCTACTCGGGAACCCAGCTAATGGGAACACTTGAGCCCAGCAGGTCAAGGTTGCAATAAGCTATGATCACACCACTGCACTCCAGCCTGGACCACAAAGTGAGTGTGAACCAGTCTCTTAAATATATAAATACATAAATACAAATCTGAATTCTCAGGAAAGCATCCACCAATATGTTCATCAAGTAGCAAAATGATTATCTCAGCTTTGTCTACCTTTATATAACTTACTTAATATTAAAAAGCTGGCAGCCAAAGAATAGGGAAGAAAACGGCATGAGTGGATAATCAATCTGAGAAGTTAAGAACTGCATGCTTATAAAATAACATGCAAAACAAGGATCACTACTTTTCTGAAATTTACCTTCCATGCATTCGACGTACATAATCTTTCAGAGAGGGTTCAACAAGAATTGAGGAGAGTGAGCTGGGCATCTTAAGTAACTCCTGTAACCATCAGAGTCTTCCATTATAGACAGTCAGCCCAAAACTCAGACAACTTAACATAGACGCAAAGCTGTAATTATTACAGAAAACTGAATTAAAATTATCCTGGCATTCACCCACAAAAATATTCCCCCAATCTATTCTTAAAATTGAAAACAGGCCGGGGTCTCTAAGCATATCTAGGGCCCATCTTGGTATGCTAGTTTCATTTCAGCTAAATTTGCATTTATTCCTTAATCACAGTGCTGAACTAGTTCTTTAGAAGAGGAAACAAATTAATTCTGAGCTCTTGAGGAAATACCCTGGTAGATTTCTTATTTCTTACAGATAACAAAGCTGCAATCAACTAAAATCAAATAAGCATAGTATCCATTTTATGTGAATGGCACAATTCAAACAGTAAAAGCACAATTCTATCATTGAAGAACAGACACAGACACAGATACATACACACACACCACACACCACAAACACACACATACACATGCACGCATGCGCGCACACACACACACACACAGAGGGAGGTAAGGAAACAGAGAGAGACAGACAGAGAGAGAGAGAGAGAGAGAGAGAGAGAGAGAGAGAGAGAGAGTCCTGTGCCTTTTACTTTCCAAAATAAAAGCCAAGGTTCTGAATTTTTTACTTTTTTACCGCATAGTGAAATAATTGAGGGCATACTCAAGATGCCAGAACTCTAGTCTAGGTGCACATGCCCAGAAGGGATAGCTGAAGTCTATTTAAAGCTTTTTAAAATGACATTCTATTTTCAAAATGAGCAAAAAATAAACTATAAACTTAATGTTTAAATGTAGTAAACACCTACCTAGTGATGGGATTTGGAATTACACTAGAGAAACCTGCAACTAAGAAATGCTTTCCCCATGTACATCAAAAGCTGAAGGCTAGGCCAGGCATGGTGGCACTCTCCAGCCCTTTGGGAGACTGAGGTGGGTGGATCACTTGAGATCAGGAGTTGGAGGCCAGCCTGGCCAACATGGGAAAACCCCATATCTACTAAAAATACAAAAAGTAGCCAGGCACATTGGCACATGCCTGTAGTCCCAGCTACTCAGGAGGCTGAGGCAGAAGAATCGCTTGAACCTGGGAGGCAGAGGTTGCAGTGAGCTGAGATTGTGCCACTGCACTCCCACCTAAGAGACAGAGCAAGACTTCGTCTCAAAATAAATAAATAAAAGACAGAAGGCCAGACTTCCATTATTTGAGATGATTTCACATAGATTCCAACATCTATTAAAATACCCTTGAGAAAGACCTCTATTATCACTGATGAGTATAAATGTAGTTGCTCAGACCCTTGACCGAGGAGCAAGTTTGATGGAGACCCTTGGTAGGGGTAGAGTTGATAAAGGGAATTGAAATCACATTTTCTTGTCAAAGGTAGCAGGATCTGAAAGAATGTTCAACGAGGAGGCAGGGTACCATAGTTGGAATCCATCTGCCCAATCTAGGTATGAGATTTCTTATCTGAAAAACAAGAAGATGAAATCTGATGATCTTTAGCAAATTCAAAAATGTAATGACTTCTGTGAAATGAAGCAGGTCAGGTTAGAAGCATAGGGTCAGTCACAAAGAGCTAGGAAGTGGGGAAGCAAAATGTCACTAACGGTGGTCATAAAACCAACGGTAGAGGCAAAGGAGAGGAAATGGAGAAAATACCTCCACAATTGTAACTACATCTAAAGATTAACTCAATGTGTTGAAAAGCAGTTCTACAGTGAAATCACAGTAATGCCTCAGGTAAGGGGCCACGAATATAAACAGAGAGGGAAGAATCCTAGGTTCATATTGCGTCAGTGCTTTCCTCAAAACCTGATTTTTAAAAATGGAAAAGAAACTAGTTTTGCCTAAGGAAATAATGTCTTAAAGCTAAAAGGATGATTAGCAGCATTGATTAATTTCCTGGTAAATGAAAAATTCTGACTTTTTTGCATTCTCCCAAGAGCACTAGCATTGAAATTACTCCAGTAAAGTTCACTCATTCATTCCACAGATATGTCTACAGTATCTAACATGTGCTTCCATTGATTGTGAGAAGACATACAATGATAAAAAAAAAGTGACCTCTACTCTTAAGCGCTTGCAATAGAGTACAGAAGATATGGCAGATACATGAATAAATACAACACACGGTGTAACTGGACCAAGCAAAGGTTAGGGATTGGAAGAAGAGCTAGGTTTTGTTTTCAATTTTATTTTTGAAAGATCACAGTTACTTCACATATCCATTTACACTAGCCAAAGTCAAGAATTTCTAAGGACAAGTTTAGACACTTAATAAAGAACAGCAGCTCCTGAGCCATCTGCTTTGTTCCAAAAATGAAGAACTATCACACGCATATTTTCATTTTACTTCAATCCTGTGAGAATATTATTGTCGGATGGGGTAGGTAACATTTGTTTTATAACTGACATGATTAACAAATCACGCTTTATAAAATGGCTACAGTCAGTGCCTCTTTTGGGTGGAAAAAGAAAAAGAAAACCATCATATGGGCCCAAAAGTCACTCACTTTCAGCGAGTTCCTTTGATCCATTTAAGAGTCCTGTTACTGATCTCTTTCTGATGAAGAAATAGGCAAAACAGAACTTAAAGTGAACAACGAAACCTTGTTATAGGCAGACAAAGATACATTAAAAAAAAAGCTAAAGGATTTTTTGCATATAAAGGAATCATTTTCCAAAAATACATCACATAAAACAGCAAATTACAATAGCCCAAACTTAGACGGCCATAGCCTTACCTGGTAAGGAACAATACTTCCATGAGCTGTACCCCAACGTTTTGCTTCCTTTTGACCAATAAGATAATTTGCAGCTATGTGGGACAAACACGCCACCTACCAGGAAAAAAAGTAAATACATAAAATAGAACAGCTAGTTTATCTATACTCATAAACAGAATGTTATATTATGAAAGTTATTTCACTTCATGTCATTGTAGAAGAAAAAAAACTGTCCATCAAGTTAGAAAATATACAGGCACTTGTACTTTAATCACACAAATTAAGAATGGTGTTACATTATTGCATGAGACTAAGTAATAGTCAATTGAGAAATATAAACAGATAAACGTTCAACCCTTAAAAAGATTATCTGAAAGCAGAGGTTGACCAAGCAGATGGAACTATGGGCCAGCCTTTATCATCAAACCCACAGCAATATACATCAGCAACTCATGTATTTTTCCCCTCTGCATGTATCTCCTTTTATTTTGCACCAAGATGATACCAAACGAGCCTGTGTCATCACTAAGTAGACAGATGAACCAAAGCCAGGAGCCACATTTCTCTAAATTTCTGATGACATAAAAAAGTAATAATAATAACCTTCCATTTATTTAAGTCATTTTAGCCAGGTCTTCTGTTACTTGTGGCCCAAAGCATTCTGACACAAAAGATCAAGATTATTTGACTTTTCAAAATTAATTAGTGGATCATCCTCATTTAAAGAAACATTACTGTATCTCTCCCAATTTGCTCCTAGCCCCATACTCTCATTGTCATACTTAATTCAGTTTTTGAGAACTGCAGATCTGTTAAAGGGGTCATCTAAAACCTTAGAGTAAGTTTCTGACTATTGCAGTATTTCACGGACAGATCTCGACAAATCTACAATAGTTCAACTCAGTATGACAATAATATGAGGATAATGAATTGCTTCCTGGTGATCTGCCACAAATATCTTATGTTCCAATGATACTTATGGTTCCACCACTGCAAAACTATGGAAAGCAAGTAATCAAATGATTTTCCATGAATTCCATAAAAGAATAAAAAGTGGTTCTGGCCACATTACATAATCATGATATAGCATCAGCTTGCGTTTCCCTTTCTAGATCATCAGATGTGATTGGAAAACCCACCAAGCCAGTCATTAAAACATACCCCAAATTGAGATTGGCTCCTGGAACAACTCAAGGCATGATTTTTCAGGCCTTTTCTTGCCCCCTACCTAGCACAGCAGCTGTGCTTCCTACAAGAAATATCAATAGAACTCAGCCTGGATGAATCTCCTTGCTGCCGCAGCCATTCTCCTTTACTTTATTTTTGGGACTTAAACTCACTTTTATGTTCATTTACTGCTCTGTCAAAATTGGAACTGCCTTGTGGCAGCTGGTTTGGCTGTACAGCCCAGGTGGCAAAACTAATAAACTTTGAGTCATCCACTTCTGGACTTCCATCTGGTCTTGGGCATTTGAACCATGGAACATTCCAAGGCTGCCTGGGGCCACCTAGTGCTAATCACCATTTCACAGATCACTTCTGTGTCTTTCGAAATGGAAAATCAAATCAACATTTTGTAGCAAAAATGCCCTGGATAGGAAGTTCAGAAATGGCCGGTTGAAACCTGGATGGTTTCTAATCTCTGTCGACCTCTAAATAGTTCCATGACTGTGGGTATATAAATTACCTTCTTTGATCTTCTGATACATTCTCTATAAAGTCTTGGCATTTGAGCTAAACCAAAGGTTTTCAAATTTAAAAAAAAAAACAGAAATGTATCCAACCAATAATACATGAAATCCTAACATACAAATATGTAAGCAGAGAACAGCTCAAGTGCTCTAGATGAAGCAGAAGCAGTCCTGCAACACCACCCCAGGGAGCATGAACACAGAACGCAATCTGCAAAATAGTAAGTAATCTTCAATGTGCTTATAGGGCAAATTTGGTATACACTTCGGACTCTATTATTCCTCTTAACAATCTGGCAGATAAAAAGACAAAAGGGACTGAGTATGGTGGCTCATGCCTGTAATCCCAGCACTTTGGGAGGCTGAGGCAGGTGGATTACCTGAGGTCAGGAGTTCAAGACCAGCCTGACCAACATGAAGAAACTCTGTCTCTACTAAAAATACAAAATTAGCTGGGCATGGTGGCACATGCCTGTAATCCCAGCTACTCTGGAGGTTGAAGCAGGAGAATCACTTGAACCCAGAAGGCAGAGGTTGCAGTGAGCCGAGATCGCACCATTGCATTCCAGCCTGGGCAACAAGAGCGAAACTTCATCTCCAAAGGAAAAAAAAAAAAAAAGACACAAGGGATACAATAGCAGGAATTTTCCCAAGACATTCCTTCCTGAAATTGGAGACACTTTCTGAATTCTGAGATCTCTTCTCAGATCTAGCTATGTTGTTGTTCTTTTTATTTATTTTTTCATTCAAACAAATCATGATGAATGTCACTCTCTAAGGGGCTCTGTTGCTACTGAAGGCCAACAAGCAAATTAATAAAGGTTATTCTGTGCAAGTAGTCAATCACAAAAGGCTTGTTATTTCTTCTTCTCTAATTTCAAAGTCAACAAATCAACATCATCAAGGGCTGCATGAGATTATCACAGGCCAACTTATAAATCCTAAATTGATCTAAGAGAGTTGCCAGGAATAGGGAAGGACTGGATTCTTGGCTGGATATCAGCTTGGCTGCCCCATTCCTTACACATTATCTTATTCTTTCTTTTCAATTTTTGACTTCTGTGTTTCTGACCCTGCCCCATTTATAATGTGTTTGAATGAGGAGTCAGAACACATCTCTCAATCTGTTTGCAAGTAGAATATTGTACACATTTCCTTCATACAGTGGTAGTTAGTGAAATCAAAAAGGATTTCAGAATTAGCAAGCTCATACTGGGCAGAAGGAGTAAACAAAATTTTAAGCCAATTGACATGAAAAAACAAAGTGCGGGCCAGGCATGGCAGCTTGTGTCTGTAATCCTAGCACTTTGGGAGACTGAGGCAGGTAGCTCACTTGAGCCCAGGAGTTCAAGACCCACCTGGGCAACATAGCAAAACCCCATCTCTACTAAAAATACAAAACAAATAAACAAACAAAACAGGTGGGAGGATCACCTGAGCCTGGGGAGGTCAAGGCTGCAGTGAGCCGAGATCACTGCACTCTAGCCTCACCAACGGAGTCTCAAAAAAATTAAAAACAAAAAACAACAAAGTGTGATTTGTCAGTAACAACTCAAAGCCGAAGTTGGGGGGAAAAAATCTATTTTTTAAAAAAGAGAGCAACATGGCTAAACTTAGCAAATCAATGTTTAAAGGGGGTATTACAAATCTGAATGTAATCTACTATTTATAGGGATGTATTTTAAGGCAGGAGAAGGGGAAAAAAGGCAATAGCTATGATGTGATTATGAAAAAAAATCAGAGGTTTCCTGGGCAATTAATGACAAATTTTGCACAAATTAAAAGAATGCAGAATGTGACTTTTTGGTTAATAACTACATACTGTATATTCATTCTAAATACTGCATTAGATCATTACTTTCATTCCCTAAACTTGGGCTTATTATTTCATCAAGCAGATGCTATATAATTTACTCAGAATGTTGCTTTTTTATGGTTTCATCTAAACAAAAAAGTCAACTTTGGTTTAATAATAATCATTCCGACAGCAAAACTACTATTTTAGATAACAGAGTGGGTCCTGATATTCTTTGTTTCTAACCAGAAAACCAACGGGGTGGTCAAAATGGATCTCAGAGAGCACAGCCTCAAAAGACTTGAGGAAGAATATACCCAATTATTTCCCAAAGCAGTCCCATGGTATCTGTCACCATATGTTCCACTTCCACCAAATAAGGATCCAGCTGCAATAATACAATCTTTCATCTCCAAAAGGACAACCAAGTGTGACAGGTAAAATGAGAAAAAGAAGACTAGAATCACGGTCCACGGCACCAAAACAGGTCATTTCCCCCCCATTCCCTTGTATGTCTTCTGGCCTTCAACTAAGTTGAACTGAATACCAACAATGCAATCATCCATCTGCCCACATTTCCACCTAGTCTTCAAAGTCTATGTCAACATCATCATTTCCATTAAGCCCCAACTTCAAGAGGTTATATTCCCTGCCCCTGAATGAATAAAACACTTAATTTATCTGACTTCTGCTGCACTTTCACAGTCATCCTTGTACTACAATTAGAATTTTAAGATGTCAAAGCTAGAAGGAGCTAGATCACTACTTCCTTAACCTACCCATGCATCCCAATCACCTATGGAATTCCTAGAACCCATCGCTTACCAAATGAATCAAGTTCTTCAAGGATGGAAACTTGGAAAAAAATAATTTAACCAGTGTAGTATTAATTGCACATCAGAGTTGAGAACCAAAGCTTTATGAGAGTCTAGTCAAACTCCTTAATATGCAAATGGATAAATAAAGGAATACAGAATAAAAATAACTTGGCTGGGCACAGTGGCTCACGCCTGTAATCCCAGCACTTTGGGAGGCCAAGGCAGGCAGATCACAAGGTTAGGTGTTTGAGACCAGCCTGATCAACATGGTGAAACCCTGTTTCTTCTAAAAATACAAAAATTAGCTGGGCGTACTGGTGAGTGCCTGTAATCCCAGTTACTCAGGAGGCTGAGGCAGGAGAAGTGCTTGAACCCGGGAGGTGGAGGTTGCAGTGAGCCAAGATCGTGCCACTGCACTCCAGCCTGGGCAAAAAAGAAGAAAGAAAGAAAGAAAGAGAGAGAGCGAGAGGGGAAGGGAGGGGAGGGGAGGAGAGGGGAGGGGAGGGGAGAGGGAAGGAAAGAAGGAAGGAAGGAAGGAAGGAAGGAAGGAAGGAAGGAAAGAAGGAAAGAAAGAAGGAAAGAAGGGAAGAAGGAAAGAAAGAAAGAGAAAGAATAAAAATAACTTACGTAAGGACACACAGTTGGTTAGTAACAGAACTTAAACTATTACAACTGTGCCTTCCTCCAATATTATTTATATTTTCTCCTCTCCCTTCTTTTAAATTAGGAGCTATTTCAAGGTAAAACTTATGTATTTTAAACCCTTTGTATGTTTCTATAGCACTTAACACAGATCTTGAACACTACTGT